TTATCTTTAACAAAATCTTTTTATCCTTTAAGAAAATATTTAATCTTCTAACTATATTTATTTTGATCTTTTAGTCCTTAAATTTATATTCACCAGAAAAATAGTTTTTAATCTTATCTTACTAAATGTATTCTTCAAAAAACTATTTTACAAAACAAACTATTTATAATCTGTCATGTAAAATTATTTAAATATCTTTAATTTTATTTTTATATTATTTTTTCAAAAACATTTAAATAATTTTTCAAGACAAACTATATACAATTTGTCTTGTAAAGCAAACTAGTTGTTCAAGTTTATTACAAATTTTAATTAATTTATCTCTATAAAATATTTCTTGAATCATTATATCTTATTAGGATTATAATGTCATTTTCTTAAAACTTAAAAAACTACTCTTTCCATTAAATCTAACAAAATTTTGTGTTGATAGATTATTTTAAAATATTTCCAATGTTTATAGACCAATTAAAAAGAAAATAAACTTTTTAGACTAAAATAAAATTAAGCTTATAGTTAATAGACTAAAAATTGAATTAAGCCCACCAAGACCTAGTATTCTCCTCTTGATCTTGTTGCGAAAATTCTTCATTACCTTCCAGATGAGTCTATGATGCGGTTCAAATATGCATCCAACCTGTGGAATGGTCTATTTTCTTATTCAAACTTTTACCAAAATCCACCATAAAAAGCACAAGCATGGGTCCAACAGAACGTTGGAGTAAATTCATCAGAATTACGCTGCCTATTAGTTATTTGGTTCTTGGAGTATATATATCATTTGCTCTCATCTTTATTAATTATCTTTCATCCATTCTTCAGCCTGCTTCCTCTTCACCGCTGCATGCTTGTTTCCTGTCCCCTAAATGCTTTTTAGCAGAGTTTGTAGTTGCCAACCACCAAAATCTACTTAATAAGTTAAAATGGAGGAAAAGCTAGGACATGGAGATTTGGACTTTGGAGCATGTTTGATGAAGCTCGTAAGTGCTTTAACTTTTTTGATACTATTCATGTTTTATAAGTTTAATTTTTTATTGAATGAAAATTTAAAAGTTGTTTTTAGAAAAAGTAAAAAGTGAGTAAAAATGAAATTTTCAAAAAGCAGATGTTTGAAACTTTTCAAAATTTACTGTTTAAGATCTTTTTAAAGTTAAAAAATGTAAATTTTTAAAAGAAAAATTTTAATTTATAAAACATGAATAGTATCAAAAAAGCTTAAGCACTTGAAAGCTGAACCAAACATACCCTTGATGGGATCACTTTTTTTTTATTGAACAGCTTAAACCAAAAAGCCTGATATGCTTCTCATGTACAAAGTGTTTCCATGGCAATGAACATATCTTTACTTACTTAACAAAAGAAGAACTTAATTTCAACTGACTTTGGACTTTGGACTTTGGACGAAGAAAGCTGGAGTTAATGCACAGCATCAGGTTGTCTTTGTGGTGATGCAGCTTGGAATTCTGGCAATGTCTTCAGTGATTCATATATCCTACCTAATCTGGGGAACTTGGACTGCATAAACAATCAAAATATATTTACTTCATCTACACAAGGAGTTGGATCAAATGAATATGAGGCTACTAAAATTTGTGCAGCTAAATATGTCAGATTCCAAAAAACAACAATGATGAGACTGGCATTCATTCAGTTAAAAGTGGATGAGATTAGAGTAGAAGACAACTTGTTTGATCAGAAACCTTGATGGTCATGGTTTTCCCACATAAAACTTAGAACCTATGAAGGAATAAAGCCAAGAAAAGATGAAAACTAGTTTACCATATCAATCTTAAACCGCTCTGTAGCCATGGCAACCTGCGGGGCCAAAAATACATCTGCCTGAAAATAATAACAACTAGATTGTCAATTTTGGTTCATCAATAGCTGTAAAATCCAGCATGTGACTTACTTCGCTCTTTAAAAATCATAATTCAGAATGGACTAAGCATCTAGGATTTACTAAATACTCATCATAATATACGCTAGACAAGCTACCTCGGTCTACTTAGCTTAGTCTTTCCATGGACAATAAATATATTAGCAGTTCCAGAATAACCACACAGTTTCTTTTATTCTCCCTCACAAACCATATGATAAAGGCATGTTTTGCAAGATAACCATATTATAATTAGTACAAAGCAGAAAAGGGTGACTTTAAATTTCAGAAAAATAGAAATATAAATAAATAGAATATAAATCATCTAAAGAGACCATGTAGACTTCTTCTCCTGTGGCATATCTGCCATCAAAGTCTTCCAGCACTTTCTCAAGAGCTGCAAACAATGGTAAGAGAATTAATTAATTATAGTACCTACAACAAAGCAACCCTATGGCAAAGCATGAATACAATAATTGATGAGAAGAGGACTAGTTCTGTTAGGAAAGTGTACCATCAACACCAACAAACACTTGCCAAGAAAAAGAAAGACACTTACCCAGGAAACCTTTTTCCATATAAGTGTGAGCCCACAACAGCCGCTCCTCAGCACCAAACCTATCCTCGATATGTTTCTAAGAAAATGAAAGACTAGTTAGGCATCAAGTAAGGAGGTGAAATTACAACCAATACTGCTATATCAAATATGCAATTAAAACATACCAGCACTGACAACATATGAAGAGGCTGGATGCTAGAGCTGATAATGCTGGCAACCTGTCCCATCATAAGCAACTTAGCATGGTGACACAAGAAAAGTATCTGCAGCACATGAATTCAACCAACCAAACCTCGTGCATTTCTCCAAAACACACTACAGATCCATGGTTCTCAACTCACACATGTCAAGACTTGAATCTACTTAAGCAGAAGCAATGGACTAAAATTTTTGTCATTCATATGAAACTTGATTTAAAGCACACTAATAATAATTTCTACCTAAATCTTAATACAGGCCTCCCATGAAATAGAGATCAATAATATAAAGCTAACCTGGAGATTAACAGTTCTTCGACGAGGATCAGTGGGTAAGAGGGGTCTTTGAGGATACTTTTCTTCCAAAAACTAACAAAGAAGACAAGAACATAACAAAAACTAGAGTTGAAATTATAAATGATTGATAGAAATGCAATAAAAACAATCTCAAAAAATGGAGAAGGAAAAATGTGGGACTAAAAAAGTGTACCAACCAGCGATATAGCATATGAATCTGAGATAATCACATCACCATCAACTAAAACAGGAACATATCGAAGAGGGTTTATCTTTTCAAACTCTGGAAAACAAAAACATAACATTCATTATGATTCATAAATTTACAAAAAAAAAAAATATTATATGTTCTTTTAAAAAATAAATAAAAATCACCTGGAGTATGTTGCTCTCCTTTGGAAAGATTCACTGCCCTGTACTCGTAGGGAAGCCCTGTCCATCAATTTTAATGGAGAAACAAAAATCTATTCAAAATCAGTGCTAATTTACTTGAAAATTGGATTCACCACAGAATCTGAGGTGACTATACCTTTGAGGTTCAAAGCGAAGCGAACACGCCAAGAGCACGAGCTCTGCCAGAAGGAATATAAAATGAGATTGGAAGACGACTCAGCCGCCGCAACTCCTTCCGAGAAATTACGAACAGAAGGCTTCTGAGTGTAAGGGCTCGTCATCTCAGTCCACCTTGCTTCGATGGTTTTGAAAGAAAAAGTTCGCTTCTGGAACCGATTAAGTTTTCTGAAGATTGTTACGGATGCCATTGATGGAGTTTAAAGAAACCCTTACGAAAACCACAGGCTACCCTACCACTGTGAGTAGACAGGACATTGCAACTTGCAATTGCAAACGGTACTTGAACAGATGGAGCCGGCAACCACTGTTTTCCACAGGCTACCCTACCACTGTTGACCCGTTTGGTGCAGCTTGTGCTTTTAGAGCCAAAAAGCTCTTCCCACAATCTGCACCAAACATGCCCTAAAATTTGAAACAAAAATGTGTAAGGCTGGGCATTTGAATTGAAATAGAACCGATGGTTTATCCGAAAATCGAACCGAAAAAATGAATTTAGTTCGATTTTAATGATTTTTTTTGTATTTTTTTGGTTTTAATATTAATTGAATATATTTTGCTTTATTTTCGGTTGAATTTTTTAAAAATAAAAAATAAAAAATAAGCCTCTTAAAAATTAAAATTAAAATAAATATGATAAAATATAATATATTATTAAAAAAATAATTAATTATTATTTATTTAACAAAACTTAAAACTGAATTAATTTTATTAATAACCGAATAGATTGGTTTTTGATCATTTCAATTTAATTTTTATTCTCAAAATTAAAGAAAAAAATTTTCGATTATTTTAAAAACGATTTTGATTTTAACCAAAAATCAGTTTTGCCCACCCCTAAAAATGTGTCATCCAGTATGGACTCTATTTTTTTTTTTT